AGAGATTCTGTTGTTGTTGCTGCTGCTGCTGTTTTTTCCTTTTGCCTTGTGTTAGCTTATTTGTCTTTGGGAGGGCGAGGGAAGGCACGGAAATGGAGGGACAAAAGGGTGAACAAGTACAGCAGTGGTACACATTAGACACTACATGGAAAATGAACTATACAACTGTGGGTGGGAACGGAAGGGAAAACCTGGGAGTGAATGAGGGAAGTGGTGTCATGTTTTGAAAAGAAATGTACTCATCACCTGACCCATGTAACTGTAACCCCTTTGTATGCCACCTCTATAATAACAGTAAAAATTATTTTTTAAAACTGTGACCAGTGTTTACCTGTTCCTTTCCCTTCTGGGCCCCTCTCCTCCTCGCCCTATACCTTCCCCTCTGCTTTATCTCACTCTCTCCTTCTCCTTCTCCCCTTCCCTCTCCTCCCTCCCCTCTTTTTCCCCTAGGAGACCAGATACCAGGCCATACATGCCAGAAGTATCAGCAGGGGGGGGGGGTATGGATAGGCTGTGATTAAGAGATTAAGAAGAGATGAAGTGATTAACTTGAAAAGAATGAGGAAGGCACATTTTTCTCGACTTGGGGCCTGAGAGACCAAGTGCCCTCCCTCTTTAGCTTCAAAATAGCTTATTCTGTCCTGTCATTTGTGAGAACATGATCGACTTGGTACAGAAAGACAAATGCCACCCGATCTCTCTGACCTGTGGAATGCTGAAACAACAGACACAGAGAAGCTGGGGAGAGGAAAATGGTAATGAAGTGGCTGGAAATGAAGTAACTGTATGCATATGCATTCCCCTCTTAATATTATTCCTGTAAGCTAGACTATCAGCCACAAAATCAATAGACTCAAGAATACAAACATTTTTTTCTGAATCTTGGTAGAAATTATTAAAATAGGGGCTGGGAAGGTGGCTCAGTGGTAGAGCGCTTGCCTTGCATGCATGAGGCCCTGGGTTCGATTCCTCAGCACCACATAAGCAAAAAGAAAAAAGCCGGAAGTGGCGCTGTGGCTCAAGTGGTAGAGTGCTAGCCTTGAGCTGAAGAGCTGAGGGACAGTGCCCAGGCCCAGAGTTCAGGCCCCACGACCGGACCAAAAAAAAAAAAAATATTAAAATATTGGGAGTTACAATGCAAACTCACAAGTGTACAAGCATGCCAATTTAATGCTATATTTGCAAGCAATATATATGAGCATGAAAAAGTTAGAGGCAGAATCTGTGAGTTCGTAAACCTGTACAGAAAACTTGATACACTATCTGATATTTGAAGTGTGCTTATCATTTTCATGGAGCTGTGAAATTCCTACCTTGGGTATGTTTATTGTTGCCTAAATTCCTACCTTGGGTATTGTTGCCTAAATTCCTACCTTGGGTATGTTTATTGTTGCCTTCGCCTGGAGGTCTGTGCTGGCCTGTAGGAAGGCCCAGAACACATCCCTAGTGTGTGTGCTGGCGGGGAGGGTTGAAGGGGGGTATCAGTCGCTACCAAGTGAACTGACCCACTTTTGAGAGCCCTTCACAGTACGCAAAGTCTTTCTGCCCCCCTCTCACGGGCCCTGCTCACAGAACCTGCCTTTGTTACCCTGAGGAGAACTTTAAAAACTTCAAGAACTTCAAGGTTGGAGGGAATTTTAGGACTGAGTCAAGCCATTGGGTAGAAGGAAACAAAACTAGAACAGAATTCAGGTCTTCTGGTCCCCAGGGCCATGCTGCCTCCTGACCTATAGGTCAGGTCACTTGAACAGCACCAATGACCCCAGGGACTCCCCGAGCAGGTTGTACTAGGCTGGACGTGTGGGGAGTGGCATTGCTGCAAGAGCTTCCCCATGAAAAAATACTTTGCAGACAGCTGGGGAGTGACTCCACACCCCACCTGGACTCACTTCTAGAACCTTCTGGAAGACAATTAAGGTTAGCTCCACACACGGATTAGCATTTCATTTGAGAAACAGGACCTACAGCACCTGCAGGACATATCTCACAACAGCTCACATTTTCGTGTGTGTGTGTGTGTGTGTGTGTGTGTGTGTGTGTGTGTACCTGCGTGAGCACATGCGTGCACATGCTTGTACACTTCCAGCTCATTGCTTGCTGATTAGAGATAAAAGTCCCACCAACGTTCCTACCCAGGCTGGCTTTGAACCCTGATCCTCAGATCTCAGCCTGCTGAGTAACTAGGATTACAGACTTGAGCCTCCAGCACCTCACTCTACATTCCCTATCCTTTATCATTCACTTTACAACAGTGAACAGGGTTGGTGGCTGGGAATTTCTCACAGATGGATGAACAGTCAACAAATGCCATGTATGCTGTAGTATCTGATACTGGAAAAAGGTAACACAGAAATTCCTTAGTATGAGAAAAGCTCACTTCATTTTTTCCTTGTTGGCTCCCAGCACTTTTTTTTTTATCTAATATTATAGGACCGGTGAATTCCTTTTATCCTTTGTTTTGGAGACAGTACCTCAATGGTACTTTCCTGGGTTTATTTCACTGATGGCAAACTAAAAAGTCACTTAGCAGTAATGACTGCCACCTTGTGGACAAACACCAAACTTCCACTAGAAAACAAACACGACAATGTTAATGCAGACTTCAGCTGGTACACACCAGAGATCCCTGGTGACCACTAAAACTTTGGTATATTGTATAACTTATGCACGTTCCTGGAAAGTTACATATGGAGGACAGCACAGCCATTAATCTCTTATTGTTCCAGGCCATAATACTATCTAGTTGTGGGGGAACCCTGTGACTCTTGGCATGGAATCACAAAGATTTCCTTTTGTAGGTACAACACCCTGGAGTTGGGTGGTCATTCTTGATTTGCTTCATCAGCAGTGAATTGGAAAAAAGTTCCCGCACAATTAGGCTGACTTAGTAACAGCTGGACGGCACTACTGGCCAGTGAACTAAAGGCCACAGGAAACCATTTGACCTTTGACTCTGGTGCTAGGTAGGGAGGTGATCTGAATGGTAACAGGGCTCTGGCCATTTGACTCACAGTACTCCCAGGGGCGTTCTGAAAGCTGGAGCTTGAAGCCAGCCCGCGGTGGAATTCTCTCCTAGTTACTCCTCTCAAGTTCTGTGCTACAACCTGCCCACCCCCTACAAGAAAGGAGGACGGGGGTTGAACACTAGAAAAGTGCGGCACACAGGAAGTAATGTGCAGGATGCAGGAAGTCACAGTGGAGGATGTGGATAACTAGAGCTCCACAGGAATGGAGGACTTCAGAAAGGAGAAGCAGAAACACAAGGGCGAGGAGCAAGAATGTCACAGGCTCCAGGCCTCAGGAATCAGAGGACTGCTGAGTAGGAAGGAGATACTGAAGTAGCCTGGACCAGGAGGGGAAGAGGGGTGGAGGATGGAGAGGCCAGGATGATGAGCTACCTCCTCCTCTTCCCCCCCCCCCCGCCTCGGTTGCTAGGCAGCGGGAAGAGTCCATATCACTCATCCCCTGCAGAGCCTTTGTTCCAAGCTTTCCTGCTCCACCCACCTCCAGGCTGCACACATGCCCTGCCCAGCACTGATTTGAACACAGTGCTCATAGTATAGGTATGCATGTTAGACCTTCAAAGATACTAGGTTTTTATTTGTTTTTTGTTTTTTAATCCTCTCGTGTCTTCAGAAATGACTGACAGCCTCTGTCTAATGATGGGCAGGTAGGGGCAAGGCCTTCCCCATGGGTACTTTGGCAGTCACAACAGTCCACTTTACTACTTTGGAGCCAAATTTCTTTGTGCCTCAATTTTCTCATCTATAAAATGGTGTGACCATAACAGCACTGATTTCATGGGGGTGGCTGCAATGGTTAAATGAGATCACGAACATAAATCACTCTCAACGAAGACAGGAAGACAGGCAAGAGAGTGTCAATTGGTCTCAATCCAAATGTTACACGCATATATGCACAGTGGAGTATTAGTCAGCCATAAAGAAAAGCCGAATTTCTGCCATTGGCAGGAAAATGGACAGGACCCCGAATGATTATGACAAGCAAAGTAACTCAGGCTGAAAAAGTCAAATAGCTAAGGTACTCCCGCGTAAGTGAAAGCTAGCCTTTTTAAATGAGGGATAGGAGTGTAAGATTGGGTTCCTTTGGGGGCTTGGGAAAGGACAGGATGTGGGGGTGAGAACATGAGCTCATTCTTTATACCAGTATGCGAAAATAGAACAATGAGCCCGTTGAAGTTGTGTTGAGAGGCGTGTAGGGAGGACGAGGAGGAGTAATGGAGGGGTACATTTGATCTGGGTACATTGTATGCATATAGGAGATATCACAATGAACCCCCTTGGTCCAATAAGCACATGCTAGTAAATGGAAAAGGAAAACAATGCAAATGCACAAACCCTCTGACCAAGCGATACTGCTCCTAATTATACACCTTATAGAAAGCCTGCAATATACGTGAAAAAAACAGAAGGACAAGAAGACTTACTGTAAAACAGATTGAAATAAAACACCAGGCACCCTACAGACAGCCACCGAGAACAGGTGCACACAAAACCATCTCCAGGATGCACTACTCCATTTTTTAAAAAATGAAAGAACAAACCCTGGTCAAAATTTACTCATGTTTATGTTTCTCTTTTTTCCTTTTTCTTTCCTTGCTTCTTTTTTTTTATTTTTTAGTTGACTCAGGGAGGGGGCTGGAACTCAGGACCTGTGTGCTGTCCCTGAGCTCTTTTGCTCAAGGGGATGGCAAGAAAACACCGGGAAAGAGTGAATGAAGGGGAGACATAGTTCAAAAATAATTGTACTCATTACCTGGTCCATGTAACTCCTCTCTATACCACCTCTACAATAACAACAACAATAAAAGAGTCTCACAGACTTTCTTTTGCTTGGGCTGGCTTTGAACCATGCTCCTCAGACCTCAGCCTCCTGAGTAGCTAGGATTTCAGACATGAGCCACCATTGTCTGGCTCTTATCTGAACTTTAGGCAGACAGGAGGCTTTGGAGACAGGAATAGGTGGGGAATCATACTCACGGGGGTCTGGAAGCAGCAGAATAACTGGGTGAGGAAGGGGTGGTTGCGGGCCAGGGACAGGATCCTCTTCTCCGTCATGGTGCACTCCACATCATCATCCTGCAGGATCACGTCCTTCTTCAACACCTTCACAGCATAGAGCTCTCCCGTGTCCTTTATCCTAGCGAGCATCACCTAGGACAGAGCAAGAGGGAGCATGAGGGATGTGCTCAGTGGTGGCTACAAGTAAGAAATCCAGGTACACACACACACACATAGGCACACACATACAACCTATACAGAATGAGCAGTTCAGTTCAGGTAGTCGAAGCCAAGACTCACCTTCCCAAAACTCCCCTTCCCTAACACCCGGATGAAGTCAAAGTTGTGGATGCCCAGCCGGCTGGAAGAATTCACTCCGACCCCATTTCCTTCTTTGGTACCCTCCTTCCCCTGCCGCCTTAGGGTTGATCTGGAAACGAGTTTCTGAAAAGGAGAGGAAGAATCAACTGAGTCAGAAACTGCAATGTAAACAGAAAGTCTGGGTGCATGGGGACAACACCCTCGCTACGATCCCGTCTAGCAGAGACATAGAAGTCAGCTCAGTGCAGTGGATGAGCAAGATTCCATAGTGCCAAACGACTTCAATGCCAGTTGTGGTGGCACACACCTGCAGTCCCAGCATTCAAGAGGTGAAGGCAGCAGGAGGAATCTTGAGTTCAAGGTCACCCTGGACAACATAGCCAGTTCCAGGACAGCCTAGGCTACAGAGCGAAACTCTGTCTCATAAAACTCAGCTCAATGACCTAGCACCCCTGCCTAGCATGTGCACAGAGCCCTAGATTTGATGCCTAGCATCACAAGGAAACATGTTTTATTACATTATTGCTGTTTTAGAGGTGATACACAGTGGGGTTACCTTTACATACATCAGGTAATAAGTACATTTCCTTCCTTTTGCTTAGTATCATCTGTTCCCTCATCTCTCCCATTCCCTCCTTCCCATCTCTACCCACGAGTCACATAGCTCATGTTCATCAATGTCTAGTGCGGCCGGTCCACTCCGCTGTTGTACTTTTTCCCTCTGACTCTGTGCCTGCCCTGCACCTTCCTTCAGATGTGCACGGGTGTGCACCATCTATGAGGTAAAGATTACAGAGTCATCAGAAAATGAAAGAACAAATAAGGTCCTTTGCGTCTTATCTTTGGAGTTCACTTCAGTATGTATATTATTTTATATACATAGGAAGAGGTGTTTGGGTATTACAACTTAGTGATTTTCTCCTATCCTCTTTGGGCTCACTGTGAGTGTCTAGAATCCTGGGTAGTTTGCCATGTCCCATTGCATTTTAAATCTACATATCAGGGAGAACATGCATCATTTGTCTCTCTGATCTTGGCTTACCTCAACATGATTTTTTTCTAATTCTATCCACTTCCCTGTGAATGACATTATTTTGTCCTTTCTAGTGGCTGTGTAAAATTCCACTGTACACAGGAATCACATTTTTTGGATCCATTCATCTGTTAGGCATCTGGGTTGTTTCGGTATCTTGTCTACTGTGAAGAGTGCAGCAGTGAACATAGATGTGCCAGGTGTCCTTATCATATCCTGGCTTGTGATATTCAGGATAGATGCCCAGGAGTGGTATGGCTGGGTTATAGGGAAGGTCTATGTTTAGTTTTTTTAGGAACCTCCAGACTGCTTTCCAGAGTGGTTGTATTAGTTTACATTCCCACAAGCAATGCTGTAGGATTCCTTTTTCTCCACATCCCTGCCAGCAGTTGTTTCTGTCAAATTCAAAACATTTGCCAGTCTAATTGGGGGTAAGATGGTATCTCAGGTTTGTTTTGATTTGCCTTTCCTTTATGGCTAGGGATGACAAACATTTCCTCATGTGTTTCTTTGCCATTCTTACCTCTTCTTCTGAGAAGTCTCTCCTTAGCTCCCTTGCCCATTTAATGATTGTTTTATTAGGTTTGGGAGAGGTTAGTTTCTTGAGCTCCTTGTATATATTGGATATTAGATTCATTGCTGGTAAAGATCTTCTCCCAACTGGTTAGCTATCTTTCTAGTTTAGTAGCAATGTCCTTAGCTGTACAGAAACTTTTTATTTTAATATAGTCCCTCTCTTGTCAAGTCTCTCTCCTATCTGTTGTGCCCCTGGATTCTATTCAGGAAGTTCCTGCCTGTACCTATTAGTTCTAATGTCTCTCCTACTCTCTCTTGCAGTAGTTTCACAGTTTCAGGTCTGGTGTCGAGGTCTGTAATCTGCTTTGACTTGAAGTCAGTGCATGGTGACAGGCTAGGATCCACTTTTAGTTTTCTGCATGTGGCTGCCCAGTTTTCCCATAGCACCAATAGTTGAAGAGGCTATGTCTTTTCCACTGTATATCTTTGACTCCTTTGTTGACTATCAGATAACTGTAAGTATGTGGGTTTATTTCTGGGTCTTCTAACCTGTTCCACTGATCTTTAGGTGTACTTTTGTGCCAATACTAAGCTGTTTTTGTTTTTGAAATCTGGTATTATGATACTTCCTGCATTGTTTCTTTTGTCTAGAATTGCTTTGGCTATTCTAGGTCTTTTGTTGTTCCATATGAATTCTTGGATTGTTTTCTCTATCGCAGTAAAGAAAGTCTTTGGAATTTTGATGGGGAGTGCACTGAATTTATATGTCATTTTGGCAGTATGGCCATTTTCACAGTATTGATTCTAACTATCCCTGAACATGAAAAGCCTTCCCATTTCCTGGTGTCATCTTTGCTTTCTTTCTTTAGATTTTTTAAATAGTTTTCACTATATAGATCTTTGACATTTGGGGGTAGGTTAATTTCTAGGTATTTTATTTTTTTCTGAGGCTATTGGGGTTGTTTTCATGATTTCCCTTTCGGCTTGTACATTGCTGACATACAGAAAGGCTATTGATTTTTGTGGGTTAATTTTGTATCCTGCTACTTTGCCAAAGTGGTCAATTAGCTCTAGGAGTTTGGGAGCGGAGTTTTGGGGATCATTTAGGTACAAGATCATGTCATCTGCAAATAGGGATAATGTAATTTCTTCTTTCCCTATGTGAATCCCTTAAATGTCCTTTTCTTGCCTTATTGCTCTGGCTAAGAATTTCAGAACTATACTGAAGAGGAGTGGAGAGAGTGGGAATCTTTGCCTTGTTCCTGATTTTAGGGGAAATGGTTTTAGTTTTTCCCCAGTTAGCATATTGGCTATTGGTCTGTTGTATATAGCTTTTACTATTCTCCTTCTAGTCCTAGAAAAACTTTTTTCTTTAATTATGACCTCAGTATCAGCTTCTGGTCTGTCCTTACTATTGTAAAATACATCTACACCAGGCAGTTGCAGGTTACATACAAATGTACGCTTGGAAACACAAATGCCTTAGGCCAGTTCCCTTTTCCAGCTTCCCATGAGGGGCCAAATTCTCCGAGTGCCACCTAGTGTCCGCATCATGTAGCACGTGTCTACGTGAGAACCAAGTGCCACTACATATAGGAATGAAGCAACATTTTTTTAAAGACAAAATTTTACATTATAGAGAGAAATAAAAACAGTATAAAAATAGAAACAGGGGCTGGGAAGGTGGCTCAGTGGTAGAGTACTTGCCTTGCAATGCATGAGGCCCTCAGTTCGATTCCTCAGCACCACATAAGCAGAAAAAGCCAGAAGTGGGGCTGAGGCTCAAGTGGTAGAATGCTAGTCTACAGCTGAAGAGCTGAGGGACAGCGCCCAGGCCCAGAGTTCAAGACCCAGGACTAACAAAAAATAAATAAATAAAAAGAAAAGAAAAGAAAGATACATCCAAGATTGTGAAGGATAATGTTTTTAAATATTTGCAATAAAAAAAATAAATATTTGCAATAATACAGACATGACTGCATACTTGGCTCATTTTTAAAAAGCTAATTATTGTTTTATTTCACACATTTTTATTTAAAAATTAATCATGTGTATTCCCCATATTTCTAATTACCCCCTTTGAGAACATGAGGGTACTGTTGTTGGTTGGCTGCTTTTTGGTACTGGAAATGGTACCCCGGGACAAGTGTTTATTGAGCTACTCACTCCACTAGCCAGAGAACATGCATTTTAATGGATGCTCAATAGTCTATTTTATGGATATATCACATGTGTGCTAATCTACTCGCTATCAGAAATGTGGGTCATCTACTTTTCACTGCAATAACACTCCAGAGAATATACTTGCACACCAATCTTCAAACCAATAATTATAATATTATGTCATTTGCAGGGAAATGGATGGACCTAGAACAAATCATGTTAATTGAGGTAAGCCAAGCTCAGACAGACAAAGAGTGCATGTTTTCTCTCATATGCGGAAACTAGATTTAAAATACACCAGGGCATGATACATTATATATGACTCCAGGCATCACACACAGCGAGACAAAAGGAGGGTATTTTTAGGGGCGACACACAAAGGCATAATGCTTCTGTGCCTCTGATCACATAAAATAGTATTTATCAAAATGAACTCGAGAAAATGGAAAGAAAAGTAATTGAGTTTGGGTTCTAAAAGCAGCTGCCTGGGTTCAAAGAACTGCTGTGTTCCCAATCCTGTGACTATGAGCAAATTATTTCCCCAACCTTCTGACAGAGAGGCTACAGAATCTGCCATGGGACTTATGGTGAGGAATTAAAAAAAAAAAAAAACCCAAAGCACTTAGATAGATACCAGGCACAGTGTTGTCTCATTTATTGTCTATTTTCTGTTCTTTTCTTACTTTCCATCCTTCCTTTTTTTTTTTCTTCCTTTTCTTTTCTGAACCCAGGACCTTGCTCTCTAGCTTGTTTTTTTCCACTCAAAGCTGGTGCTCTATCACTTGAGCCTTGCCTCTACTTCCGGCTTTTTTGTTTGTTAATTGGAGATAAAGATTCTCTCAGATTTATCTGCCTGGACTGGCTTCAACCTAGGATCCTTAGATCTCAGCCTTCTGAGTAACTAGAGTACAGACATAGCCAATTAAGATAGCTTTGGGGAAATAGAGTTGCTTAGGCCCAAGTGTTAACTTAGAAGACTTTGATACATACCAATGAACCCTCTATAAAGGGCTCCCACAGCATAACGAACGCTTCGGTATCGTGGTTTTGATCAGGAAGTAAATGTGGCTGCTCTGGTTGGTTCTCAGGTCCTACGTGTTCCCTCACAGGGAGGACTCAACCCAAAAGTAGGGCGACTTTTGCAGACACTCACTTTAGAACATTTCCCACACTACCACTAGAATGGAGCTTCTGATCTATTTAGCTTAAAAAGAAAAGCTCACCTGGGGCAACTTCTAAGCAATGCAGGCAAGAGACCCACTGTGCAACAGCCTGAAACTTCAAGGCTTTTCCCTATTGAACCCATGAAACTGGGATCACAGTGCATAAAATGGATCATCATGAAGATGTGCTGGCTTTAATTGTTTCTCCTCTAAATCTTCCTTCATGAAATTTCCAAGATAGAATAGGGATATCAGCTTAAATTTCAGTTCTTTCACTTACACATGTTTCCTGATTGGGCTTAAAAAAGAAACCAAGGCAATGTTTCTTAATCTTTCTCAACCAGTTCTTTTGTTTTTGGTAGATGGTTCTCTCTTTCTAATGCTGTATTGTGAAATAACGGGTAAAATTGGGTTTCTCAGTATGAAATATCATAACATTAAAGATACCTGGTTCAGGCTGGGTGATGGTGGCTCATGCCTATAATTCTACCTACTCAGCAGGCTGAGACCTGAGGATCATGGGTCAAAGGCTGCCTGAGATCTGAGGATCATGGTTTAAAGCCAGCTGGGTTAGAAAAGCCTATGAGACTCTTACCTCAAATTAACCATCAAAAAAGCCAGAAGGAGAGGTATGGCTCAAGAGGTAGAGCACCTGTCTCATTCTGTTGCATCGTAGAAACCCTGGCACAAGCTGAAATCCTTCATCTCTTTTCACAGGGACAGCAGTCCTACAGATAAGAACCCCTCCCTCACCATTTTACATCCTGCCTACCTCTCTAAAGTAGACAGACCGGGACTTTTCTAGTTCCTTCCTGAAATCAAGAAATATATTGTCTATAAGGATTCCTCAGTCAGTAGGCAGAAGCCTTTCAGGACAAAGGAAATGAGGTGCTAAGTGCCAATATTCCCTAAGTTATCGAGAATCAGCGTGATTATACTTCCTTCTCTAAGCACCTAGGGATGATTTGACTGTTAAGTCTAGAGTTTCCCAGGACATGATTATCAAGCTACATCTTATAGTGCTCACAGTTACACAGTTATTGCTATTTCCCAGCTCTCTACAGATGCCAGAAAGGCAGGAAGACAAATTGCCCTGGGAGGGAGCTGAGGTTCTCAAGGACAGCCCCAGGTGGCAATCACTCAGGGAGGCTGTTAACCAAACACACCCACTCCTGAGAGCCTAGAGCAAGGAATTCCCACCAGGTGCTAACATAAACAAAAATGGCACTGAGGCTTGAACTCGGGGTGGTCTGGACACTGTCCCTGAGCTTTTTGGCTCAAGGCTAGTGCAAGTGGTTAAGTAGTAATAAGAGTCTCAAGGACTTGTCTGCCTAGGTTGGCTTTGAACCATGATTCTCAGATCTCAGCCTCTGAGTAGCTTGGTGTTAGGCATGAGCCACTGATGCCCAGCTAAGTTCAACCTCTTTTGAGATGAGAAAGCTGAAGCCCATGTTTTACTGGTACCTGTTCTGCTCATTTAGACTGTTCATCACACAGGATTCTGGGTTCTAAGTTTTCCACCAAACTAGAATGATAGAAAGCTGATTTTTTTTTTAAAGAAAGAAAAAAATCACTTGTGGTGGTGGATTTGCATGCTCATTATTTCTTGTCATATAACTGTACACAGATTCTTGCTTGTGGGATAATGTTTTTCCCCCCTCTGGTCCTGGGGCTTGAACTCAGGCCCAGGGCACTGTCTTTGAGCTTCTTTTGCTCAAGGTGAGTGCTCTACCACTTGAGCCATAGTGCCACTTCCGGTTTTCTGGTGGTTAGTTGGAGATAAGAGTCTCCTGGACTTTCTTGCCCAGGTTCGCTTTGAACTATGATCCTTAGATTTCAACCTGCTGAGAAGCTAGGATTACAGGCATGAGCCACCGGAACCTGACTTACTTCCAGCTTTTTCTGAGTAGTTTATTGGAGATGAGTCTCATGGACCTTTTTGCCCAGGCTGACTTAGAACCCTGATCCTCATACCTTAGCCTCCTGAGTAGCTAGGCTTATAGGCTACAATTTTTATTTTTTAAACTACCACAAGGCTATGTATATGCTAGAGATTATAAACTTTGAGGATATCTTATGCTCTTATTTGGGGTCACCATATCTGAATAGATTTTTTTTAATTACAGCAGGTTAAAAAAAAAAGCCAAGTCTCACCGAAGTTGGGGAAATATTTCCAGGTTGGAGACCCATTCCTGCCAGGGTCTTGGCAAGCTCCACCGCATTTACACCACAGTTAGGGGCCACGTTGGCTTGACATCGAATATGTACATTCATTTTACATACTAAAAGAAGAGGAAAATAGAATCCACAGTCAGAAGTTGACCAGACATTACACACCGCAAGACAAAACTACCAACCTCAGTCAGCTCATAAAAATGAAACTCACATTTAAAATGATTCCCGACATTTTCTCTATTTCTCTTTTGTGCAGAAGCAGACATCCTGGTACTCAAAAAATATCCTATTATATAGATTTTTTCCATGACTTGATGAACCACGTTTCTGGAAACTACATGTAGCAGTCATTGCTGACCTAACAATCCCATCTAAAGATGAAAGAAGCTTTCATCACTAGAATCATGTGGGTAACAAGGCACCAGCATGTGTGCTGCAGAGAGATCTGTTGAAACAGGAGGAGGATGGTGTTTCTGGGAGCTGAGACTCTGTGAATTTCTCCCTTTCTGAGAATTGCAGCGGCGGGGCTGCCTGCCTAGTACAGAGACATGAGGCATGTGCTCTGGGGCTTGCGGTTTTTGGTGTTTGCAGCCTGTGGTTCTAGCTATGCTTTGGGGGAAGAAGAAGATAACCTTTAATGTACTTGAGGTCTGGGTATACAGCAGGTAGAAGAAGCAAGCAAAACAAGCTAAGGTTCTTATGCTCAGGAAGGGGCTACCTGACAATGCTGGCTCCAAGGTTTAATCAGCAGAAATTTTAATTCAGGTCCCTTCAATGGGAGAACGCAGCAGCAGGGCATAGCACATCTCTGTTGCACAGAAGCACATGTTCTTGGGGAGTACACGGGCTTTGTGAGCCCTGAACGTATGTCATTTAGGAATGCTTCTTCAAGAGAGCTTATGAAAAAGACTGTGACAAGCCGGGCGCTGGTGGCTCACGCCTGTAATCCTAGCTACTCAGGAGGCTGAGATCTGAGGATCGCGGTTCAAAGCCAGCCCGGGCAGGAGAGACC